CTATTCTATTTCTTATTCTTATTCTATTCTATTCCTAATTCTTATTCTTATTCTTGTTCTGTTCTGTTCTATTCTATTCTATATTCTATTCTATATTCTATTCTATTCTATTCCTAATTCTTATTCTATTCTATTCTATTCCTAATTCTTATTCTATTCTATTCTATTCTATTCTATTCTATTCCTAATTCTTATTATATTCCTATTCTATTCTATTCCTAATTCTTATTCTATATTCTATTCTATTCTATTCTATTCTATTCCTAATTCTTATTATATTCTATTCTATTCCTAATTTTTATTCTATTCCTATTCTATTCTATTCTTCCTAATTCTTATTCTATTCTATTCTACAGTATATTCTATTCTATTCTATTCTATTCTATTCTATTCTATTCTATTCTATTCTATTCTATATTCTATTCTGTTCTATATTCTATTCTATTCTATTCTATTCTATTCTATTCTATTCCTAATTCTTATTCTATTCTATTCTATTCTATTCTATTCCTAATTCTTATTCTATTCTATTCCTTATTTCTATTCTATTCTATTCTATTCTATTCTATTCTATTCTATTCTATTCTATTCTATTCTATTCTATTCTATTCTATTCTACATCTTTAAAGGGACTTCAACTCACCTTTGTGTTCTAACTGGGACGTCCATTCACCTCTTGAAAAAGCACCTTTGGCACAACTATGACCTGGATGCCTGAGAATCTCCACCGACATTCAGATTAGAAATTCAAATATGAAAGCTCTTTGAAGACTAAAGATTTGAAATTCTAAGGCTATAACCATTTCAAAGGGACCAGCAAGGCGGCCATTGAAGCCCGTTTAATTTGGGAAGAGGCGGACTTGGCTTTCCTGGTGTTAAACAAAAGAAAATAAAATTAGCCCGAATGCAAAGTGAAATTTGGAAGCTGTGGAGAATGCAAACCCTTGGNTCTCAAAGTTATTGGGAAGGTGCCCAGCTGAGCCTAGCCAATTTAGAGGGGGAAAGATTCCCGTCGGGTGGATGATCTGATCAAACAGGTTTGAACGCTCAACCGGTTTAATTCGAGGCTGGAATAATGCTAATCATCTTTAGGGTTGGCCTCGCTTTCGATTCCTTCCGAATGCAGCAACCTGCTTTGCACATGGAGCAAACAGACCAGCATCTGGCATCGGCTTTATTCTACTTTTTGACAAAGTCTAATTATAGTTGGGCTGGCCTGGTCTAAATTAAGGATTGCTCAAGCAGACCAAAGGTAGCTTTGCTGAAACAAAGACAAACTGTGAATTTATTTGCTTGGCTGAGTCATCATCAGTCGTCTAAAAAGCCGTGGGAATCGGCGGGGCCGGCGGTCTTATGCCGTTGGTTGGAAGATGCACCTAGATCAGGGTTTCCCCAGTCTTGGCAACATGAAGAAGGGTGGTGTAATGCAGGGGTGTCAAACTCAATTTCATTGAGGGCCGCATCAGCATTGCAGTTGCCCTCGGGGTGTGTGTGTGCGGCCTATTGGGTGGGCGTGGATGGAGTGGGTGTGGCCTATTGGGTGGGCATGGCCAGCTCTACATCGTTCGCGTCAAGGGTGCCTGTGGGGGCCTGGGCAGGAGTGGGACAGATCTGAGGGTCTCTGGCAGAAGGGGGTGGGACCGGGGCAAGCGCCAAGGCATGGTCCATTTCTTCATTCCTCACCAAGGGTGACACCTCCCCAGCAGGCACCCAGGGGGCGGGCCCGACGCAGCAGGGGCTGGTTCCTCGCTGTTTCCAGATGGCCTTGTGGAACTAAGACTGAATGCATTTCAGCATAGATGGCCACCACAAAATTGTACATTGGCTCCCGGCTGGCCAATTGACTAGAGCAGTGGTGGCGAACCTATGGCACGGGTGCCAGAGGCGGCACTCAGAGCCCTCTCTGTGGGCACGCGCGCCGTCACCCCAGTCCTAGGCCTTCAGCTGGGTTTTATAAAACCTTTTCACTTTAGGCCTCCGCCGTTGTATACAAAAAAAAAAGGTTCAATCAATCAGTCAATTTCAACTTCTCGCGGGAAAAAAAAAAGATCTTGCAGAGTTGGAATTGATTGATTGAACTTTTTAGTCCCACCCAGTCTGCTGTTACCACCGCAGCCACGCCCATCCAATGGACCACGCCCACCCAATAGGCCACACCCACCCAGCACCTGACGATGCATAAGTGGGTTTTGGGTTGCAGTTTGGGCACTCGGTCTCTAAAAGGTTCGCCATCACTGGACTAGAGTTTCCTACCTGAGCAGGGGGTTGGACTGGATGACCTCCGAGATCCCTTCCAACTCTTGTCATTCTATCATACTGTTAGGGTCTCCTGCCTGAGCTGCGGGTTGGACTAGATGACCTCCCAGTTCCCTTCCAGCTCTCTCATTCTATGATTCTGTAACGCTCTCCTGCTTGAGCAGCGGGGTTGGACTAGATGACCTCCGAGGTCCCTTCCAACTCTTGTTATTCTGTAATTCTATAAGGATGCCAACAGTTTCCCGGTGAATTTGTCGCGAGGTACGTCCACGTGTTGGGGAATTAAGGAGTGCTCCTCATGCCTTCCGACCGCTAGTTCAATCTGTTAACAGCCACCTAGTCAAGGAGCCACCAAGAACACTCCCCCCCCTCCCCCAAATACTGACAGGGCAAATTGCCTATATATATAAGCAGAGCAAACCCTTCTCTCTTCTACCACTGGTGACGTTACCTAGTTGGGTCATAAAACGTCTGCAAGGAAACTACGCAGCTCAGAGAGCATCAAGGACCCGTCCTTCTCTCCACAAACCTCCTTCCGTTCTAGCTCTGATGATGTTACCTAGTTGGGTCATGAAACATCTGCAAGAAAACCACCAAACTCAGAGAGCACCAGGGACCCCACTCCCTTCTAGCACTGATGGCGTTACCCAGATGGGTCATGAAATGTCTGCAAGGAAACAACCCAGCTCAGAGAGCACCAAGGACCCCACAGTTCCCTCCCTTCTAGCTCTGATGATGTTACCTAGTTGGGTCATGAAACGTCTGCAGTAAAACTACCAAGCTCAGAGAGCATCCAGGACACCCCCTCCTCTTGTTCCCCCTCCCCCTTCTTCTTCCTCCTCCTAGCATTGACCATGTTACCCAGTTGGGTCATGAAACATCTGCAAGAAAACCACCAAACTCAGAGAGCACCAGGGACCTGGGGGGGGGGCAGAAGGAGGAAAGACGTTTTAGGTGAGGGAAGATCGTGACTACTGCAATGGGTCTACCCATTACTTTACAGACGTTCTTTTGGTGGTTCGAGTCTCTTCTGGCCCCTGGGGTGTCAGGAGGAGGATCGTGACTACTACAATGGATCAACCCAGTACTTTGCAGACGTTCCTTTGGTGGTTCGAATCTGAGCATGAAGGACCCCATAGTCTTCCTCCTTCTCTGCTCACAAACCCCACTCCCTTCTAGCACTGATGTTACGTAGTTGGTTCATGAAACGTCTGCAAGGAAACCACCCAGCTCAGAGAGCATCAAGGATCCCACAGTTCCTTCTGTGAAACTTTAATTTCAATTCACCATCCCATAATCAGACCCAAACCTTCCTGGGGCAGCCCTTATTTTGATGTCCTCTTCCTTAGGCTGAATTTTTTTTTGGGGGGGACAAACAGGAACACCTTGATTGGAATCCGATGGTTAAACCTTATATATTATATAGGAACATCTGAGTGTCAGTTTATTATTGTTTCGCTCGTTGTTGTTGTTTTTTGAACTTTAATATACATTTATACAGGCCATAATAAAAGTTATCAACAGGGTTTCTCTCTTCAGTTGTTACACTACGGGTCGAGAATTAAACGCATGCAGTTACAAAGGAGAGGTAGTAGTAGAAACACGGTATTAAAGATCTAAAAATACAAACGTCGTATAAATTAAGAAGAAAAAGAAAAAAACAACACTTTCAAAATCAACTTCTGAAATTGCTTGTACTGATAAATAAAAAGTAAAAAGTACATTACTTTTGTCCAAGGGGGAAAAAAATAAAAGACCAGGGGGGGGGGGAGGGAAAAAGGAGAGAAAAAAACGCGCGCACACAAAAACACATTTTCTTCACGCTCCGTAAAAGTGGATGAGGCCGAAATGCCAATCAACGTCCATCCAGAGAGGTTTGACTTATTTATTTTTTTTTAAAGATTGAAATGATCCCGTTATAAACAAGCTATTATTTTTCCCCCTTTCAAGTGATGATGGCAGTAAGAAAACCTCTTAGAAGTTAAAGAGGGGACCAGCTATGAAATTTTGGTTTTTTTTAAAAAGAACTTTTCAAGTTGAGCCTTAAAGAATAGGGGAAGGAAGAGGAGGAGGAGAACAGCAGGGCAGGACTCCTCAAAAGCTGCTCCAAATAAACCTGATTATAATGATTTCTTAATGCTTTGCTATTTTTTTATTTATTTAAAAAAGCTTCTGCTATAAAAACACCCTGTTCCATCCAGGTGGCAGCTGTGTCTAATTTTTTTTTGACCTCTGGTTCAAGGAGGGACACAACTTGGCATGCAACAGAAGAATTAAGCAATCAAGCAAGCCTTGATATATAGGACAGGGCAGGAAACCATGTCAGAATGATACCCAAAGTGAGTTTTTCTCCATCTCAGCCATGCTAATAAGACGTGTCAAGACTTCAACTCCCAGAATTCCCCAGCCAGCTACAGCTACAGCTAGCTGGGGAATTCTGGGAGTTGAAGTCCCCAACTCTTAAAAAGTCGAGACGATTGAGAAACACCACTCCAGACGATTACTCAAGTATTAGATAAAAGGCTATTAAAAAAATGAAAGAATTCACCTTACGACACATCTACACGATGTGCAGGTTGAAAAAGTTCAGGAGGGGTTTTTTGGGGGACGACGTTCTGTCTTCTCCTGCACCTCAATGAGTCAATAATGAATTATCGTCCCCCCCCACTCTGCCCCGCCAGGAAGAATGGATAGTTGTGCCTTTTCTGTAATTGTTTTTTTTTAATTATATCAAAAAAAAAAAACCCCAACAATACACAGTTTAGTAAATTAGTGCAATATAAAGTATTTGGGCGAGAGGGATCAGGAAGAACATCAAGGTCGTACGTCTACGGCTGTTGCTAAAAGTTTGATTCAGGGATTCTCACCGGAGGTCCTTGTCTCCAATAAAAGTCTGTAATTTTGCCTTCTCGGTTATTTAATATATGTATATATATATATATTTTGCAAAATTAATCCGGGTTCCTGACGGTTTGAAGGTGGAGGGATCTTCGCCATTCGTGCTCGGCTACAAAGCTTCCCCGGAAGTCCAGCCCGAACGAAGTGTCGCCTTCATTCAGTTTTGTCCCGCAAAGCAGACATCCACCCGTTTCCTAAAGCAGGAACCAAATTTTGGGGGAATCCTGCCGGAGAAGGATCCCTCCGTCCTCTTGTAATCTACGAAGACGGGGAATCGTTGCCTGCCAAGATCAAAACGGCGGTGGAGATCGTATAAATAGTCTTCCCCCCGTCTGGCTGTGAAAGGAAAGACGGGCACAATGTTTGTCCAAGGACAATTTTTTTTCCTCCCAACATTATTTGCCTTTTTTTCCTGTTTCGTGAATTGTTTTTTTCTTCTCTCCTTTGATATAAGCCAGCTTTCCTTTGAGATGGGAAATGAGAAGATTTCTGGCTACGCTAAGTGGTCCCGGGGAGTAGGGCAAAGGAGCTCTTCTATTCGTAGACAGCGACGGCGTTGCAACAAAGAGCAGAGAGTCTCCTTTCGATATTAGCTTTATCTGAAAAACAAAACAAAGGGGGGGAAAAAGGCATGAAGATATCGGTGTGCGCGTGAGAAATGCTTGCTCCGTGTGGGAGCCTGCTCTGGGCCACGTGAGCAAAATCTTGAAAAATCTCGAAAAGGTTTGGAAGGATCCAGGGAGAGGTACGCCGAGGTACCATCAGGGAGTGTTGTATCTTAGGATTCATGATGAATGTTTTTTGATTAAAATCATGGTTTGTGGCTTGCATATACACCAAGAGCTTAGGCACTGGAGACAAATTCCTTGTGTGTGTCCAATCGCACAGGGCCAATAAAGAATTCAGTTCAATTCTATCCTATCCTGTTGTTCTGTTCTGTTCTATTCTATTATTCTATTTTATTATTATTCTTTCCTATCCTATCCTATCCTATCCTAATTCTTTCCTATTCTATTCTTCTATTATTATTCTATTCTATTATTATTCTATTCTTCTATTATTATTCTATTATATTATTATTCTTTCCTATCCTATCCTATCCTAATTCTTTCCTATTCTATTCCATTCTTCTTCTATTCTATTCTATTATTATTCTATTCTATTATTACCTATTCTATTCTTTCCTATTCTATTCTATTCTACTCTACTCTTTCCTATTCTATTCTATTCTATTCTATTCTATTCTATTCTATTCTATTCTATTCTATTCTATTCTATTCTATTCTATTCTATTCTATTCTATTCTTTCCTATTCTATTCTATTCTATTCTATTCTATTCTATTCTATTCTATTCTATTCTATTCTATTCTTTCCTATTCTATTCTATTCTACTCTATTCTATTAATTCCCTTTGCTCTACTCTATTCTATATACATAAATTAACCATAATATATGACGGCAGTTTTACATGACTCATAAAAGTAGCACCCCCAGCAATGTCACCTACAGCGATTTATGTTGTCAATGTCAGCTGGGTCCTGCAAAATCTTCGCTAGGCCTTCCAACAGCAATGCGGCTTTGTGGTACCGGTACGCAATGTCTTCGGTCTGCTGAAACATCTCATCCAAGGCTGCTGCTTGGACCTAAGGAGAAGGAGGAGAGGCAGATTAACGGAAGCCAAGAAGAAAAAGACAGGAGCCATTGTGCAGCAGATAATCTGAGGGCAGCCTGTATGTATGTATGTATGTATGTATGTATGTATGTATGTATGTATGTATGTATGTATGTATGTATTTAAAATCCAATAAAGCTACTGATCTCCGGGATAAAGAAAAAAACCCTTTTTAATCACTGAGCTTTCGTCAATCCACTGTTGTCGTCGTCAAAAGTAAGAGCTAATGGCTGGAAGAACCTGCTTTTGTAGCTATGTTTGGTCACAGAGCGCGTAACCGGTCTACCTGCCCCTCGTCGTATTGCTCCTACTTTTGCCGCGTATGCTGGTTATCCGCTTCGGTTTTGACATTCCCCCCCCGTCCGCCCGGCCTGTTGATCGTGTCCATTCTGTAGCACACAGCTGTTCGGCGGCGTTGCCAGATCGCTCCTCCTAGCATCCCGTCCGGCCGTGCCGTCAATCTGCCACGCAGCCGTGTCCGTTCCCGATCCTCTCGCCATATGATTCGTCTCGGTCATGTTGATCTGCTGTCCTTCTTTTAGTCTTGCGGTGGGTTCTGCCGGTGCTTCCTTCCCCTCGCTCATTGTGGCAGTCTGTCGCTCAATGGGTAAGCGACCAAGCTGTTTCGTGTTCCTGCTCGTGCGGCAAGAAGATGGTAGACAATTCGCCCACTCCGATTCTCTGCGCAGCTGTTCGTGTCTTCTCAGTGTTTGATACGCCGGTAACAGCTCCACGTGTCAATTGATCGAGTATCGATCCGATAGCCAAGCTTTCTTTAATAAGTGGCTGCCTTTGGTGGAGTCTTGGGCGATGACCTCGGCCCCCGCAAAATCAAACATGTGGTCATTCTCGGCTGTGTGCGCCCATACCTGGGAACATTGTTTGTGACGTCTAACCGCTAACTTGTGCTCGTGGACTCGTCTGGAGATGTTTAGCGGTTTCCCCAACGTAATTGCAACGGCAATCGTTACAGCTGATTCTATAGACTACCGATGACATATCGCCTGTAGGTAGCGGTTCCTTTGGGCGCATCACTCTTGCGTGCAGGGTCTGGCTGGGCTTGTGTGCCACATTGATGTTATGATACGCAAGTATCCGTGAGGTCGCTTCAGATACGCCATTAATGTAGGGAAGCGTTGCCCAAGCCATGGTGGTCGGCCTGTCACGGATTAATCGTGGTTCCTGACGTCTGCAACAGCGTCGAATGAATCTCGCCGAATACCCACTCTGTCTGCATACGCGATGGAGGTATGCCCGCTCTTTAGTCTTCACTGGCGTTGTGCTGCAATGGGTGTTAACTCTGTTGGACAGAGTTTGAATGCAGCTGACCTTATGTGTAATGGGATGAGTACTCTCATTATGCAGAATCCGGTCCGTATGCGTTACCTTGCGGTAGACAGCGGTGGAAAGAGTACCATTAGATTGGGGACAAATCAGCACATCTAGGAAGGCCAGGGTGTTGTTAATTTCCTCCTCCGCCGTGAACTGAATGTCCAGGTAGATTGAGGTCAACTTCTCCATGAACCTGACACTGTCACGGTGTTTAATTATGGTAAATGTATCGTCGACATACCTGATCCCAAATTTGGGTCGGTAGTAGACCATCACTTTGCGTTTGAGTTCTTGCAGAATGGCTTCAGAGATGACTCCTGAAATGGGGGACCCCGTAGGCGTGCCTTTTATCTGTTCATAAATGGTGCCCTGGAATGTAAAGTGTGTTCTGAGGCAGAACCTCAGCAGCTGGATGAAATCTTCCGTACTGGGCGAATTGGGGTGTCGCGGCCCTTCCTTCTGTAGCAAACCCCTTATTACGAAAAAGAGCCAGATCTTGAGGGATGGAGGTGAATAGAGATGTTAGGTCAAAAGATACCATAATTTCATCCTCCTCCACCCTTATAGATTGCAATCGTTCCAGGAAATCCTCTGAGGATTTTATCGTGGTCGTGGTGTCCTCAACCACATGCCGGAATCACCCACTCAGCCATTTAGCCAGACCAAAAGTTGGGGTGCCCTGAATGACACAATAGGGCGTAACGGAAACCCCCGCCTTGTGGACCTTGGGCAGTCCATAGATCCGTGCCATGGCCGAGTCTCCTGGGTCGGGCTGCTGTCAGGTCTTCTTCATGAATTCTGTTCTGCCTTCTGGGTCTGTCCACTGTCTTACTAAGTTGATTTCTGAGTGACGTCATCGGATCTTTGTCAGTGGTCCGATACACGCTCTCATCATTAAGCAAAGCGTAGATCTTGCGGTAATAATAATAATAATAATAATAATAATGATGATGATGATGATGATGATAATAATAATAATAATAATAATAATAATAATGATGATGATGATGATGATGTTGGAAGGGACCTTGGAGGTCATCTAGTCCAACCCCTGCTCAGGCAGGAAACCCTATACCGTTTCAGACAAATGGCTGTCCAGTCTCTTCTTAATGACTTCCGGTGTTGGAGCATTCACCACTTCTGGAGGCAGGGTGTTCCACTGGTTAATTGTTCTGTCAGGAAGTTTCTCCTTAGTTCTAGGTTGCATCTCTCCTTGATGAATTTCCATCCGTTGCTTCTTCTCCTGCCTTCAGGCGCTTTGGAGAATAGCTTGACTCCCTCTTCTTTGGGGCAGCCCCTGAGATACTGGAACACTGCTATCATGTCCCCCCTCGTCCTTCTCTTCATTAAACTAGACATACCCAATTCCAGCAGCCGTTTCTTATATGCTTTAGCTTCCAGTCCCCTAATCATCTTTGTTGCTCTTCTCTGCACTCTTTCTAGAGTCTCAGCATCTATTTTACATCGTGGTGACCAAAACTGGATGCCGTATTCCAAGTGTGGCCTTACCAAGTCCTTGTAAAGTGGTATTAATACTTCACGTGATCTTGATTCTATCCCTCTGTTAATGCATACTTGGGTTTATCCATAACCACAGTAGCCCTACCTTTATCGGCTGGCAGGATGGTGTGTATGTATGTATTTAATTCACAGATAGTCCTCGACCAACCAACACAATTCAGCCCCAAATTTCCATCACTAAGCAATGAGACAGTTGTTAAGTGACTCTTGTCCCATTTTACAACCTTTCTTGCCATAGTCATTGGATCAGTGCAATTAGCAATACGGTTGTTAGGTGAATCTGGATTCTCCTTTGACTTTGCTGGTCAGAAGGTCTGAAAAGGGGATCATGTGATCCCCGGGGGACCCTGCGACCGTGATAAATGAGAATGGTTAAGTGTCTGAATTTTGATCGCATGACCCTGGGGATGCTGCAACGGTCCTCAGCGTGAAAAATGGTTATTGTTGTTGTTAGTTGCGAAGTCGTGTCTGACCCATCGTGATCCCATGGATGTTCCTCCAGACCAGTGGTTCTCAACCTGTGGGTCGGGACCCCATTTGGGGTCGATCGACCATTTCATGGGGGTCGCCAGGCAAGGCTGTCCGCCATTTTTTTTGTCCGCCATTTTTTTCCCCTTTTCTGGCAGGTGCCTTACCTCCCTGGGGCTGGGCCAGCTGGTGGTCGGCCTGCTCCGTCTCTGCCGCTTGCCAGCTACGCCTCGGCCGGCGCAGGGGGCGGAACCACGCATGCGTGACGCTCCCGGGCAGGGAAAGTCCTCGACTTACGACCGGTTGGGTAGTCCTCGACTTACGACCGGTT